TTGGCTTCATTTTTTCATTTTTACTTTGCCCCACCAATTTAATGAACTATCTTTTACCCTACCTGTTTCCTTGGGTTCTTGCTGCTGCTCAGGAGCTAGAAGACTTGGCTGGAAACTCGATGAACATCAGAGCAGTGGCTGCGGCATGGCTTTGTTCTTTCTCAGCCATCGACCTGAACAAATGGAATGCTGAAAGCATTACACGCGAAGACAACGAGCCACTTGTGCGAGGGTTGTTCTGAACTTGGTGGCTGGCTCCTGGGGTGTAAAAATAGGGGGGGCCATACGTTCTTTTGCTTTGCACCATGAAAGTCAAACTTGCACCGCTTCTGTCACGCAGTGTCACCAAATTATTGCTTGTAGAATCCTGTAGCTATTTTCGAATTTCAATGGGAAATTGAAATGGGGTGGCTAGCAAACATGTCTATCGTTACCATGCACATATTCCAAAAATACATTGACATAATATTAAAGAAAGAATAGCAAACCCAATAGCCGATTTCATAAGAGAATCTACCAATCCTAACTACAGCCCACGAACTCAGAGTTAAAGCAATGGGGTCTTAGTGCGTTGGCGCTGCAGCGCTTCAGTGCCTCGTCTTCTGGCAGCACTTACAGTGGAAGTGAATCTAGCAGTTCAGCAGAAGAACCTCCAGGGAAGAAGGCTGCCACCCAGGGTGATCCAAACCAGATCCGAAGTTTGTCTTGGAACCAGCTTCAATCTTTGGAGCTAGGTGATCAGCGTACCCTCCATTGAAATAGATATCTTTGATTTTTCTTTGGCTATTGGACCTCTTCCTAAGCTTTGGATGGCACTAAAAAACTGATTATCTTGAAAAAACACATGTGCCAAGCCTAGGCATGGACACTTCCTATCAAGCACATGGCAAGTCAGAGGATCGTGTGCGCGAAGCCTTGAAGAAGCCTTGCTGCCAGCGAAAGTGCAAGAGAGCCATCGCCTTTCGCCTTGCAATGCAGCTGTGTGTTGCATTCTGGTCACTGAGCAAAGGTGGGCAGGATTCACTGCCACTTGGCCATGGTTTGAGTTCTGTTTCCAACTTGATTCACCAAAGAAATTTTCAGAACAAATCAATGATGTTTGTAATTGTCTTGATGAACTCTGAAGGCTATGGAGCTTGCAGAATCCGGCCATCCTGACAGAATCAGACGATGACTCCAGGGAAAGTGATGCAGGGTCTTCTTGTTCCAAGTCCAGCACCAGCTCTTCAGAGTCAGAATCTATCAACAGAAAATCCTCATGGTTCCTACAGGGCAACTCAACTTGGACTTATAGTATTGGATTTTCTCCCAGCATCCTAACCCACACCGGACCTATTGGTTTCAAGCCACACTAGTCCAGCTGAGGCATACAAGTGTGCAGAGAGGCATGGCTCCAGATCCTTGGAATTGGGCGTGACCGACTATCTCGCTGCAAGAAGAATTTCAGAGGTGCTGACCTTCGGAGCCTGGGAGCCTTGGAGCCTTCTTTGTTTGCCCACTTTTCTGCTTTGAAACCGGTGAGATTTTAAAAAGTTTCCCAAGATTGCCAAGCCATTTCATTCAATTCCACATTGATAGAAACCAAGGACAACACCACCATTCTGCGCCAGCAGCGGCTTCTGTTTTGCATTTCCTACAGAAGACTTATTTTGGCATAGCAGAAACACTTCCACATGAGCCAGAGGCTTAATTGTCACAGTGAAGTCGATGGCAAGCAAAATTTAGAGAATATCATGTCTAGATTCTAGATTTTAGTGGGTGGCACATTGAGGATGAATTTCAATCCGAAAGAACAATGGGGCTCCACTGAAGAAGGCCGCAAGAAATTGATCAACGCACTTCTGAGCAACTCGTTCAACTCAACTGTGGGTGTGGGTAACCATGACCCTGAGACCTTGCCCAGACGCTTTATGCCTCCAGGAAACTACTCAGATCTCTTTAGGTTATACCAAGCTGAATGCTTTGCAAGGTGCCAGCCAGCTGCATCTGCCTCCACCTTCTTTAGGGTGCTGCGCTCCTCAGGTTGGCGCAGGAAGATCAAATTTCGTGGGTATTCAACACATGCCCAGTGCAAAATTTGCAACAAGCTCAAGAGTGCCATCAAACACAGCAAGGACATTAGTGAGCATGCCAAGGCTTCAGACCTTTATATGAGACACCTGGGGGGGGTGTATGCAGACCGTCAGTGTTATGGTCAAACAAAGACCAGGGCAAAGGTTCAGAGAGATGTTTTGTGCTGCATTATTGACTCCATGGATCATTCTAAATTCCGACTACCACGATTCCCCCATGGAAGAACACCAAAACCGTTGGAAAATAAACGCCGACCTGAACTGGAATTCACGTGCTGCCTCATGCATGGACATGGTGTTTACATATTTCTTGCAGATGCAGAACAATCAGCTGGGTCGGATTGGTCACTGGAAATCCTGTCCCGAAGCCTCGATAAAACATTTGCCAAGTGCCAACGTGCAAATGAACCCTGGCCAAATCATTTGAAGTTGTTCACAGACAACACGCCGAAAGAAACTTGACTTATCCAAAATGCTGTCTTTTTTCTCTAGGTGGCACAGGTTATTGTAAGTCCAACATGTTGGAAATCTATGGATCACAACACACTAAGGAATTTCGCAATGCCTTCCTTGGGCAGTACTGCTGCAGTCTCATATCTGCCCGGCATTTTGCTACAATATCCCATGAGTCACTGGTTGTTGGCCACACTCACGAAGACGTGGGTCATCATCTTAGTTAAAAATAAACACACGTAATTTGACAAAGGAATGGATGCCCATAGCAGTATGCCTTTGAAAAGCCAAGCGTCCTGAGTGCACATTGTCTAAGATGCGTTTTTCGGCATGGTATCGAAGCTGATACGTCAAGCTGATGAAGACATGTACCTTAGCAGGAAGTAGTCAGTGCAACACAGCCAAACATAGCCAAACCACCCCCGACCAATCCCAACTCTTTGGGGCGAAAAGCCAAGGCAAACACCCACCGACATTATGAAGCTTTGTGCTTAGCTGCTCGCAAATCGCACTAGCAATGACTTGTGGGTGCATGAATTTTATCAGAACAGGGAAATGCCCCAATTTTACCAAATTCTAAGGTGGCTAATTCAGCGACTACGTGGCAATTTTGAAAAAACTGGCTTGGATTTTCAGGTGGACTACGTCACCAGTGTCAGGAATTGGACTGATTCCATGGCAAAATTTTCTACATTGAGTGGGGCCTACAGAAAGCGAAACATCAGGGATGTTCTGGAGATCCCTCATAGCTTTACTTTTGCCAGGCGTGATAATACCTCACACCGAACTAATAGCAGTTTTGATCCCTGCAATTGAATACGGTTTGAAAACATTGAATGCATTGGCTGCACATGGAACTCCTAAGGTATGCCCCAACATCTACTGGCACAAGTTGCAAACAGAGTGCCTCCCAGATTTGGTGGTGAGTCTTCCAACGATGTCTTTCTTTTGGTCAAGGCCTTTGTTTCTGAGTCTGAGCTATGCCAAGATCCATTGGTGGTATGGCCAGGGGCCAAAGCTGATACAAGTGCAGAGCACATACGTCGCATTGCTTCAAACCAAGTGCCAGGACGAGGGGGTTATGTCAATTTCGCTGTTTAGGTCCCCAAGATCAAATCATGTAATTTTTTATGGTAATTATTAGCAAAGAATTAGCAATTATTATAATTCAATTTTAATGGTAAATTGTGAAAACAAACCAGTTCCTAATTGGTGATACCACCCTGCAGGGGTTGCTCAATACTTGGACGATGAGAGAAAAGAGATTATATTGGAGGTCGCTGAATACCTGGAGGAACATTGCAGTCACTATGGACGTGGTATCCATTATCTTCGTCAATTGGCTGGGGATGTGGCACTTCCCAGGTCACCTCCGCCCCAAATCCAATTTCTTTTAACCAACCCTGTGGGAATCCAAAGGGGTGCAGTTGTTCTGGCAAATGCTCAGGTCCACACAGTGCATACAATGCAAGTTCGGTTTCATCGCTACCATTAAGGACCAATTGCAATTGAAAAGAGCTACTGTAGTGTTTTAGGTTTTGCTATTGCAAAAAAAGACCAGTCTAAACCAAGTGTGCTAGTTGCCAGCGCAAAGCACCATTGGTATTCGAGTTCTCCAGCTCCATTTATCCTCAAGCTCAGTGGCATCTGCGCAGCGTCCACGCTGATGGCAGAGGTGGCGCAGGAAGTGCCTGGTCCTGCTGGCTCGGAAGTTACCAGGCCAAATATTTTGTTTGTCATGGTTGGGGTGATTTGGTGTTGTTTATCTTTAAGTGGTTTGTATCCATCAGGCTGGCAGCAATGGGTTTTCCATCAAGCAGGCTCTGATTTCTCGCATGGAGGAGGCAAGTTTCTGATCAAATGTTCCCTCAAACAATGGTTAATGTTATATTTTTCAAAACATGACAATCAAAATGAACAAATCTCCCCCTGAAGATTACCGCGAAGCAAAACATTGGCGAATGGTTGTGGGACCAGTACTCTACAGAAGAAGGAAAGAAGAAGTTTTCTGACGTGCCCTGGCCTTGTGTTTTGAGAAAATGTTTACCTGTGTTTTGATTACGAACACCATCGAACACCCATTATTTTCATTCAATGTAAGTTTATGATGATTTGAGACAAACTAATTACCTGAGATTGAAGGCCATTGAAGAGATCTTCGACATGCCCAGTGTCAGCAAGCATGTGCAGAGTCAGCAGGCGATGCGGACTATCCCGATGGCAACAGTGAGGGGGTTCTACGTGCACCTTGCTTCCCTTTCCTTTGCTGAGACAGCAAAATATGGAGAAACTGGACGGTGGCCTTCTACACACCAGTTCAAGCTTCACTTACCATCATTTCTGGATCGAGGCTTTGAGTCCCATCGTGAAGCGTTGGAGGTGAAGTTTGAGGTCCCAGTGGAGCCCGACCAGACCATGTATACCATCCAGCCCTTTAGCATTGGCTACGTCGATGGCCAGAACAAGGCCATTATCATGCTGTCCACTTTGGCATTGCTCATTGATTTGGTTCCTTTTCTAAACATCCTAAGCGACCTTTTATCCTTTCAAAATGTTTTGCCAGAAGGAAAATTACCAGGAAAATGTTTAAACCAAAAAACCAAATCATGCCAAAACCAAGGCTGTGACCCGGGAACAGCTTGAAGAAGATGAATGTATATCCCGCGCAGTGGCATCGATGCAGTTTGTCAAATGCAACTACACCAAGCATGCTCGACCAGAGGACTTTCTGTATGACAGCTTGAGTAGGGGCCCCAAGAAATCCAACAGAGTTTGAAAGTTTCTACATTACATAGGCCTTTTTTTGGGTGGTGCCCTTTTTTACCCTTGTTTGGACACCAAAACGCTTAATGCTGAATAAAGGGCCCCTTCAACAAATAACCCTTTGAACCCCCATTGGATGTAATGTATTTGAATTCAACTTTTTTGAATGCCCATGATGCCAGCATTTTCCCAGGCCTTGCGAACCGTACTGCAGAGAAGGTCAAGCCATCAGCCTTGGATTTGCTTCTGCTTTTCAAGGAAACCGTTAGGCTGAAACAGAGTGTGCCTGGTGTGAAGAAGTCTTCGATTCGAGATGTGCTGTATGCTTGCATCGCAGACTACAACAAGACTGTTTCCAATCACCGGGCCCCTTGGCACAAACATAGTATTATAATTTTCATGTCTATGTTTAACAAAAAGAAACTGGAATTTGGGTAGTTGTGCCCTGCCATTGTCAGACCTGGCGTGTCAATGATGCAACTCGACGCCTGATCTACAACCTTTTGCGCAGCCCTCCAGCTTTGTGGGAGGCCTTGAAGCTTTGTTACAATGAGGACAAACCAGAATTGGCAGGCCAGACTTTTGAAATTGGCTGACACCCCTACATGACATTGCGTAAGAGTTTTCTATGGGTCCTTGTTTTCAATACCAACTCAGCAGAACTCAGCTAAACTTTAAGTTTTTGTTTGGGGTGGCTCCATTTTATGCCAAAAAAATGCGCGAACTTAACCCCAAAAAGGCTTCCCACTGAGTAAGTATGAGTGTTCTATTGGGGGGAGGGGTAGAATTAATGGATTTGCTGATTGATGTTTACTGTGGCCCTGCCAGCTTTGACCATGGACAATCTCGATGGTGACTACTTTGTGGTTGGTGCACAGCTCCTTGAGGGAGCCACAAGCCCATGGAGAGAGATCCAGGCATGGAACCTTTGTTCAAATTTGTCTGACATGGTTTTCAACCCTTTATGAAAATTGGATAAAATTGGTCTGTTCCAGTTTTTGGGGTTTAGGTTTTGGGGGTCCACGGCCCACCCATCTGTCAGACCGTCAGTGCTGAAGCTGTCGAACTATGGGCAGACCGTGCACTCACGGACTTTAGCAGGAAAGTTGGCAGGACTGCCCCGGCAAAACAGAAGGACTGGGGTTGGGAAAATGGATCCCATTAAAACTTGTTTAAGATAATAATTAGATGAACATATCTTGAGGGTGGTTTGCCTCAAACGGGGTGTTCATCCGAGCCCTTCGCGAGGGGCTCGGATGAACACCATTTTTTGGGGACCAAGGGGGGCTACAGAGACCTCAGGGAACTTCATAACCCCCCTGTCAGAAGCTGGCCCAGCGAGATCAACCAGCTATGGTGGAGCTTCTACAGATTTGCTGCCTTATGCACCATGTGTGGCCCCTCCTCCACAACTATCTGGGAGCAGGCAAGTTGCTGGATGGCATCATGGATCAGTGGAGATTGGGGTACCTCGGATCGAACCAAAATCGTGTACTTTTGGGTCTTGGATTTTGAAGCTCAATTGTCGTGTGGAATCTAGATTCCGCATCACAAAACCTAGGGTTTCCAGAAATATCGTGATTTTTGGGTTGCTGTTTCAAGATCTGAAAAATGACCATTTACTCCCAAACCCTAGGTTTTGTGATGTGGAATCTAGATTCCGCATCACACTTGGGGCTGGATTTCCCAAACAGGATTGTACATGGATTTATTTCTAAATGATGTTTCCTATGATTTTACACATCGAGATTGCCATGCTGCCAAAAGACTAGATTGTGATGTGGTTTCTAGAAACCACGTGATCCCCAAAATATGTGCAAACAAAACCGCATGATCCCCAAAATATGTGCAAACAAAACCGCGTGATCCCCAAACTATGTGCAAACGAAACCACATCACTCTCAAAGATTGTGAGCCAAACCACATCACACCAATCGCATTGCAAAACAAAACCACATCACTCGACACCAACCATCCCCCAAACCGCAACATTCAACCAATCCCCAAATCTCATGGGAATCAAATTGTGGTTCCAAAATATAGAACTGTTTGAAAGTGCTAGTTCCTGGTCCCACTTTTTTGCAAAAAAAATCGCGTTACATTTAAATTTACATACACACCCCATACATGCATACATTACATTACATTACATTACATTACGTTGCATTGCATTGCATTAAGCTACATTACAATCTATTACATTATATTCAGAAATTACATTACATTACATCACTAAAATAATTAAAAAACATTATTATGCAGTTATGCAGATATTATACAATACCCGGAATCCTTGTAGCAATGGACCCCAAAGTTTAGGACATTGACATGTTATTCACCCCCAGATTCCCAAGAACAGGGTATTGGTATTAATTCCCTTGAGTTTTTGGGAGCTTGTACCAATCCCTGGACTTTCTACCATGTTCAACTTTCAATCCCAGAACCGGGGTTCACAATTAAAGAATTTTGAATTTCCCTTTTTCATTACAGAAACAATCCCACTGTCCAAAACATGGTTTGGAACCTCCAGATAGAAAAGGATTTTGGAGCCCCAATTATTTTATATTATTTTTATCAAAGCCCGAACTCACAACATCCCCCAACAAATTGCGTTTCCCAATTTCATTCCCCAATGTTTTGAAGGTAATATTGTTTAGCCGCCCACATTCTCTCCAAGGCTACTGTTCAATGGCCTTTTCAGGAACCTAAATTGGAGGTACCCACAATATATAAGGCCAATGTAAGGCCTATGTAAGGGAATATTCCCCCAAAATATGGCCTTATATGGTACAGTACTTCCATTTTAGGATCCTGAAATTCCCATTGAAAACCCCGTATGCAGACACTGGCCATAGCATCCCATAGCCACCAAGTTGTCGCCAATTGTTGCCAATCCTGCAGCACCGTTCCAAGGGCGCTTGACAGCGAGTTGCGGGTGCAAGTGAGACTTGTTTTTTTATGTTTTGTTTTCTTGTGGGTGGTTCGTCAAAAAAATGTAGGAACCACTCTGGGATTTTGCTCAGAGCCAATGAAAAAGAAATTTACACTGTTTACGCTAGATCAGTGCAACACCAGATTTCTCAATTTCTAATTTTGAAAAGGGTTGTAATTCGGGTTACCCAGGAAAGGATTGGACGAAAACTTCGACTACAGAAAGTTGTCATTCGTTCAAGAAGCATGTGGCCGACAACAAGAGGAGCATTTAATCTCTGCTCAAAGCACGGTGAACAATGCTCGGCGCAGTTCCCTACAGGCAGGCTTCAACCTATTTGCCACCAACCTTGCCAATGACCAGGTGATGCAGGACAAGTACTTGGCCACCGCTGACATGAATTCAGCCCGTGCCCGGTCAGTCCTGGTGCATAGTCTTGAGGCCAGAGTTCAAAATGTCATTGTCCTTGGTTTGTATTCCAAGTCAAGCGTGTGATACTGTATATTGTTTGCTACCCATTGACAGGTTGAGGAATATCTGGAAAACATCTTTTATAGTTCTTTAATGTTCTTTATAGATTATGTTTTATTCTTGGGTTTGTGACCTCATGTAATTAAACACTGGGGTGCCCCAACACTTTGGGTCAAGTGCCATTTATGACTTGTTCCCTGTAGAAAATGCACACAACTGCGTGGCGCCTGGTCAATGAGTTCTTGGAAGATGCTGTGCCCACATGGGATGTATCATTGTCCAGAACAGCCCAAGGACAGGTGTCTTTGGAGGGCTCCAAAAAATCCAGGCAAACCAATCAGCTTGCTTGCGTTTTATTTCCCTATGTGTTACCACTTTGGGGCCCGAAAAAAAGTTGGCAAGCTGATTGGGTTACCCTTGTAAGTTTGCTTTATTGATAATGGAGTTGTCTATCCGTCATAAACACAAATTCAATAAGTGAGCACCCTTCTCTAAATCCAGTCATGAGCTTCCCTTCCAATGCCCCAAAATATCTAAAAATGCCATATGCAGGAGTAGAGGTGGAAGGTGATGCCAACACATACCCAGCAAAGAACGAACCGTGGCTCCAGCAAACGTTGACTTCATTTGGACAAGGAGTTCGCCGAACAGATCAGGAACGCTTGTTCTTATGGATCAACTACGTGTGCACAGGTGTGGTGTCGGGAAAGAAGTTGGTCTTCACCCTGGACCAAGTCACACAGTTTCTTCACAGTTTTCCTCGAAATGCTGTGGCAGTTGTGCTCTTGCCAAACAGAGCTTCTGACTTGCGCGCATCACCAAAGATACTTCGGTCAAAGTTTCCGTATTCCATTTTCTCTTGTCGTTTTTGTTGGTGTGTTTTTCTTGATTTTGGTTTCAAACTGTTGGTTGTTCCCTCAATTCCTAAGGAAAGATGAGGCAGAGAATGAGAAGGAAGAGTTGGACAGTGATGTGAAGAAAGCGGAAGGCAGAGTGCGATACATAGTTTTCTGAACTAGTAACTAGTTTGCTTGCATGGCTAGGCCTGTTCAAATGATCAAGGTTTGTTTTTTGCAACTTGGGCAGGCAGTGACAACGAGCAGGATGAAGATGATTGCACAGCCAACACATCTGCTGATGCAATTCTGCGGGACTTCAGGTACAAGTTGCAGTGCATGTTCATGGAACCGCAGAGGGACTTGCGGGCAGGGGTTGCAAAATAGTTTTTTTTAACACAAGTCGTTTTTCTCTTTCAATGCCTTCAACATCTGACATTTTTCAACACTATCCCTGACAGGTTCGTCCAGTCTCCATCTTCTTTGACCCTGCCTCCGTATATGGAACCCGTGAAGGATACCATTCAGGCCTGCTTGTCACTAGCTCAGACCGGACCAACTACTTCACAAAGTCGCCTGTCTACAAGTCGGGAGTTGTTCATGGAGTGGGAATGCTCCCAAGGCTTCTAGGTTGCGTTTTTTTTTCATTGTTTCTTTTCAGGTCCCACCCAATCCGGGCTTTTCTTGGAAAGCAGCTCACCAAACAAAGTAAGATAATATTATTATATCAATGATTATTTTGTAATTTTAACTTTACAACATTCTACTTCAAGGAGTGAAATGCTGAAGGGAGAGAAGACCTCGAACAAGTTTGCAGTTGACTCTCGACTGACTCGCGTGCAGGAGCTGAAGCAGGCATGTTTGTCCAAATAATTGGGGCCTTCTGTAAAAGGTTTTAGTTATCACATTTTTGATTCCTCACTTCTGTTCCCCTGAGCACCTCGCCGGGTACAGCGTGGTGGACAAGATCGTGGGAGGATTGCTCAGCTCTGAAGATGGTGAGACCAGCAACGTGATTCTGGATCTTCTGGGCTATGATGGTTTTCCAGCATGTTACGCTATGAGCAAGGTAGCTGCAGGAGCAATTGGGGTATGAGGGGGGGGAATGAATCTACCCATCTACCAGGTTTCAAAGTGTTTAACATGATGTCCCACTGTTGATTTGGTAATCCCAACATTTTAGTCATGCCTGCTGGGGGTTGTCAGGACACAAATTTGCGTGCTCTACGGCTTGCCACAGCTCACACGAGGCAAGCTATTGTGCTGCGGCCATCGGCCAAAAAGCCTATTCGATGGCCAGGGGTGGAAGTTTGCGACTACCAGGTTTTCCAGAATTTGAGCAAGTGGTCAGTGAGCT